CCACAAACTAGGATTCCCTTTTAATCTATTTATTTCCAAAACTAGCCTTCCCTTTCATGAAAAGTTGTGACTTTTTATGAAAAATTGTGACTTTTACGAAAAGTTGTGACTTTTATGAAGAGTTGTAACTTTTTTGAAAGGTTGTGACGTTTATGAAAGGTTGTGACTTTTCCAAAGAATTGTGACATTTCCGATAAGGCACAATAAATAGTTGTTCACACTACCCTTTGTTGTCTATAAATAGAGGGATTTCCTCTTATTTTAAAACAACAAAAATTCTAAACTTCTTGTTCTTCTCCTTCTTCTTTTTCTTCTTCTGTACAATTAAGTATTCGTGTAATTTGCTCCTGTTGAGTGGATTACTGACACCATTGTTTTTTATATCAATACGTTGGTGAATAAAATCGTTCCATCCTAATAGGATGTAATTCTTTAAACTTCATGTATTAGAGGGCAATAATTTTCTGAAGGGGACATTGTGCATTTAGTGGTCCCAATATTTTCCTTTCTATTTCATTCTACTTTTACATATCTTGGTATTTTTTTTTACAGTCATTAATTTATGCTTATGATTATGCTTATGATATTAATTGTTGTTTTTGAGTACATGTTTTAAACTTTGTTGTTTATGTTCTAAAAAGTTATTGTCTCCGGTTATATTGAACATATACACATATAGTAGGTATATTTATTATGCAGAAAATAAATATTCTACTCAGTTCCAAGAATTCATGTTTTGATATTCCATATAAAATTCTATAAGTAAAAGTAGTATATATATATATAAGCTTACATATTATCTATTTTTACATAAATTTGAAGTTTCTCACTTATCAATTGAAAAAATTCATTATGCAAGTTCAAAAGTTATAATTGCTTTCATATTCAAAGTGTAATTTCTTTTTTTAATCTGTTAACACATTTTTGAATTTTTTCCTGAGACATATATCACAATTGTATAATCTATGCAACTTAAATGTGTTCTTTTCCTTACGAAATGCCTTTGTATATATATTCTTATTTTCTTCTTTATTTTCCTTCTACTGTTGATTAAGGAAACGATGATTTATTATTTCCTGAATAATTAATTCATTAGAGGTTCTTGAGTTATGTGATAATGACAAATAATCAAATTCATGTTGGAATATTGCTAATATTTTTATAAGAACCTATTTTCCCCATTATTTTTAATGTATGGATATTAGTAAAGGATTATTTGCAAGTTCAATGCAATTATTATTTATGACTGCGCGAAGCGCGTGCAAATTACCTAGTATATTCGTAAAAGGAGAACCCGGTACGGTAGGTTCAGTAGGTTAAAGCTCACAAGAGTCAAATAAATTTTCCTGGATTCTAATTCTTAATCAGTGTGAATTAGTAAATTCGACGAAAAAGAATTGTATTATTGATTGTATATCATATGAATTTTAACTACATTCATGTTTGAATTTTTAACAAATGGTAAGCTTAATAAATCCTTAGACACGGCCAAGTGGAACCGTTTGTCCTTTTTAGGGTGTGTTTGGTATGAAAGAAAATGTTTTCCATGAAAAATATTTTCTTGGAAAACAATATTTTTCATGGAAAACAAGTGGATTTATAACTTATTTTCTCATGTTTGGTTGGTGAGTAGAAAATATTTTTTAATGTTTGGTTGGTGAATGAAAAATATTTTTTATAAAATATCTTTTATTTTTGGTTTGAAACTAAAAAATATTCTTTAGGAAAAATAATTTCTGATCCGAAAATCAACCCCGATAATTGATCTCGGACCCGACCCCAACATCCAAACTAGGACAAGACCCCGATTATCGTTTCAAAATCCGACCCTGAGATTTGAACTAGGAAAAAAAATTCAAAAAAAAATCTGACGGGGTCGGGGTTGGGGGGTATAAAAATGATTTTTAAAAAAATTTGAAATATTTTTCAAAAATAATTGACTGTCGTGGCCTGGGCGGGGTGACACGGGGGGGGGGGGCAAGGGGGGGCGTAAAAAATGATTTTTTTTTATTTGAGGAGGGGAGTGGTTTGGTGGTAGGGATAAAAATATTGGAATTTAAAAAAAATTATTTTTTGTTGAATTGGGAGGGTCAGGTACGGGGTATGAGTAGGGTAAGAAAAAAAATTAAAGGATGAAGTAGAGTTTTGAAAAATGTTTTCCTTAATTTTGGAAGGGAAGTCATTTTCCTTAAATTTGAGGAAAATGAGTTGATTTGAAAAACATTTTCCAAATATTTAAGCCAACCAAACATGGAAAAATTGAAAAAATACCAAACACACCCTTAATCTCTCATTCTTTTTCCCGAGTTATCCCAAGGCATAATACATAAACATAAACCTTAACTTGACTCTAGCAGATAACTATGTCCTCCAACTTTGAGTGTGCACAAGTAGACACTTAAGCTTGTATAAAATTGAACAAGTAGACACATGTGTCCTACATGACATAATACACGTAGGATGCCACATAGGACACAAAATTGCCATGTAGGGTGTCATGTAGGACTAATGTGTCGATTTGTTCAATTTTATACAAGTTTAAGTGTATACTTGCGCACACCCAAAGTTAAATGTCATATTTGTCAGCTGACGCCAGGTTAAGGGTCATGTTTATGTATTATGCCTATCCCAAATATTTTGCCACTAATTAACCATTTTGTTGACATATAGGTATCTATTGTTGGGGGGAGATGTGGAACACTGGTAATTTAGATATAAAACTCACAAAACAACAATAATAGGGTTTTTTTTAACCTGTTCACTCAAAAATAAATATGAAAGTACTTCTCTACTTGAGTGAATATTGAGATGATGATAAGAAGCTGAATCAATATTCGAAATGTATGAGTTCTGAATTTAGTATTGAATCCAAAACTCGTTTTAGTTGTTGGATTGACAATTAAATATGCATACCCTCCTTAATAAATTTGTTAATATAAATACAGAATTCTACCTAAAAGTTACTGGATTCATAGGAATAGATCTAATGTTATAGATCCTCCCCTAATAATTAATATGATGATTTGTTGGACTTTAAAATAGTACTCAACATCATATTTAAAGCTATACATTATGGACTTCAAAGGAAGCGCAAAATTAATTACATGTTAACTGCTGGTGACAAATCTAATAGTGTCCATGGACAAGGTGATAATATCAACTTATTTTGAGAAGTACCTCTTATAAAAAAATTAATGTTATTTGAAAAAGTGTTTTGGAGAGTAGTGGTTTGTATTTGGCAAAGTTATTTGACAAGTACTTTTGTTAGTAGTTTGTGTTTGACCAATATTTTCAAGAAGTGTTTTTATGTGTCAAATATATAAAAAAAAGTGTTGAAAAATAAAAAGCATTTTGAATATGGTTCGACAAATGTTCTCAAAAGATCAAAGATTTTTTTGTTTTACATAAATATCATTTGTAAAAAAAAGGTTGTTGATTTAATAATAACTGAACAAATAAGAAAATGAAATCCAAAGTGACCTCTGCCAAAGACTCATTTTCTGGATTTCACTTCTTAAAACACTATCCAATAAGTTGAGATTCTTGTAACTTTCTCAAATGGCCATTCCGGTTGATACCTGATTTGATACGGTTTATTTTAGTTGAGGGTCTATATATCATAAATAACCTCTCTACCTTTGCAAGGTTGGGGTAAGCTACATACCCACCTTCCCCAGACACTACTTATGGGATTTCACTCGGTATGATGTGTAGTTATTGTTGTTGGCCTCTCAGGTTGATTTATGGTCCCCCTTCCATGTCAGATTTTCAGTGCAAGAAGATGGTTTATTTTTCAATTGGAGTGTACTTAGTATAAGACAAGGTTTAAGTTGAGTGACTATATTGATACAAAGACAAGATAAATGGCTTTGTCACCAATACCAGAGAAGAAAATTCTGAAACTATTTCTATATTTCAATTATTAAGGATAATCTATTTGAACTATTATAAATAATATTATCATCGAAAACTAACAAATGTGTTATAGATTGGTTGGGAATAGACTCGTGATTTGTTTATATGGACTCAAGGAGTCCTCATAAACTGATTTTTGGGATTGAGTTATGCACAAATGTCGTCGTATCTTAAAACATATCTTTCATCGGCTTACATGAGACTTGCCTAGTGTAGTTTTGTGTCTCCTATATGTGAAGGCTATTATAAGGGTAGCGACTGCAAGTTTCCTTGTCATAAAAAAATCGAGTGTCTATTTTATAATAAGCATAGCATTTAAAATAAAGTTCTACCAGGTATCTGTGTCCACCAAAGCTTAGGCAAATTGAATGAAACTGGAAAGGATATACTTTAATTTGTCAAATGTTGGAGAGAATGTATGGACAAAGTGTGATCTTTGAGTACTTGGCAAGCAAATGAAAAATTCCAAAAAGCAACAATTTCTTTCCTTTTTTCTTCTTTATAGTGTCTGCCATTGCAAGAAAGCATATATTTTGGGAAGTCCTAACATGAGTTTGAGTGAAGGAAGATATGGAATCAGATGTTCACTACTTTAAAATGTTAGCTAATCAATACTCTCACTTTAAAGATATTATTTTGACCCCATTATTCTTATTCTCAACCCTGAATGCACAACTTATAAATCTCTGTGAATTTGTTGCTTGGAATAACACAATCAAACTCTCCATTACCTCTCTTAAGCTTTCATTTTCATACCAAATTCTCCAACATTGCTACTCTTTGATTTTCATACCAAATTCTTCATTTCCAATCCGCTCTATGATCTTTCATTTTCATACCAAATTCTCTCACATTGCTACTTTTTGATTTTCATACCAAATTCTCCATTTCCGCTCTCTCATATTTCATTTTCATACCAAATTCTTCATTTCCACCAGATTCACACCATTACTTCCCAGTAACTAAGAAAACCAGTCAAAAAGAGAGAATTAGAAAGCATAAAAAAAAAACAATAGCAGAGTTCAGACTTCAGAGTTGATAAAAGGCTTATTACTAAACTATACTAGCTATGGAGTTCTTTATCTATGTTTGTGGAAAAAGTCACAGATTGCTTGATGCAGCCAGTTGCGCGAGGGTTTGGGTATATATTTTACTACCAGAGCAACATAAGATGCATGGATAAAGAATCTGAGAACCTGAAGAATATCAGAAGTGAGGTGCAACGAAGAGCGGAAAATGCACGGAGAAACTTAAAAGACATTTTCCAAATGGCAAGGCCTGGTTAACTAGTGTTGATACCACTACTGCAGATGTGGCAGCTGTAATGCAACGAGGTACAATTGAGGTTGAAAGATACGGTTGGTGTCCAAACTTGAAGTCACGTTACTCGCTGAGCAGGAGTGCTAAGAAAATTACACTCAAGGTGATTGAATTTCAAAATGAAAGCAACAAGTCTGATGTAATCTCCTTTGATCATCCGATCCAAAGTGAGGCTATATAGTGAAAGATGATGAGGTCATGGCAGCTCTGCAATATGACGGGGTCACTATGATTGGGATATTTGCTTGGGTGGTGCTGGTAAGACAACACTGGCTGACAAAATCAGACAAAAGGCGAAACAAGAATGGTTGTTTGATGATGTATTCATGGTAATTGTCAATCAACAACCAGACTCAAAAAGAATTGAGGGTGAGATCACAAGAGAAATCGGGCTGACATTAGCAGGGAATAAGTTATGGAGTCGTGAAGATCAGCTGCGTACAAGGTTAACGGATCAGAACAGCCACATCCTTATAATCTTGGATGATTTTCAGAAGACCCTTGATCTAAAGAGACTTGGAATTCCAAGTGGAAGCAACCGCAAACACCAGTGCAAAGTGACATTCACAACACGTTTCCTATCTGTTTGTGCAGCAATGGGAGCTCAGAAGACATTGGAAGTGGAATGTTATCTGAAGAGAAAGCATGGATCCTTTTCTGGCAGAAAGTCGGTAATTTTGTCGATGATCCATCTCTACTTGACATAGCAAAAGAGGTTGCCAAAGAATAAAAGGGGCTGCCACTTGCAATTATTTCAGTTTCAAGAGCACTAAAAAAATCTTAAAACCAAGCAAGGCGGGAAGCAGCCGAACTGCAGCAGGTTCGGGTGACGAAGAGGATGATGACGATAACTATCGATTAAGTTTTTGTATAAGATCATGCAAGGGTCAGCTTCAAACGAGCATATCTCTTAGAATATGAAAAATTATGTGTCCTTTTACCCATCAAATTAAAGATATTTGTGTCTTATTTCTAACTCCACTAATCATTTGTAATTCTGAGTCTGGATTAAAATGTTACGATCGTTTTACCAGAGATGCTCTAGTCTGAAACTTTCAGTAGTACGACCCGTACTATGACCCATGGGAAACATCAGATAGTTTTTAAATCCACCCAATTAGCAACCACAAGTCAGACCACGACTCGTAGTATAAATGTATGATCCATATATCACTGTATACGACCTGTATATCACTTTATATCAGTTTTATATAATTTTTTCTAGATTTTATAAAAGCGCTATTTTGAGTTTCTTTTCACTCCTCGGTCAACCCTACATCCCTCAAGATCTCTCTTAAACTCTACCAAGTCTTCGTAAGTATTTTCCATAATCTTATAATACAAATTTTAGAATTTCTACAAAAATTCTAACATCAAATCCTCTTCCTAGCTCTAGTTGTGAAATCAAGAACTCGATTCTTGAGTTCGACATTTGATTTTGGGGAAAGTCCATCAAGATTTCTTCCTTCCAAATCCAAGTTAGCATACTCTCACAATTTTCTAGTAATTCTAACATATGATTGTGTATCCTTAACAAGAATCTACCATCAAAACCTAGGGGTTTTAAGATAACTCATCTCAAGGTTCAAGAACAGGCTTTTGAAATTGTTCTTAAATCTTAGGGTTTCAATTGGAGAGATTCAAGGAATGTAAGGTTATCATAGTAAGGGACTTAGTTCTTTCTCACGTCCTACATCTACAATTTCATTTAGTAAGGCCAAAGTTAGAGTTTTTACCCCAAAATCCATAAATTCATGTTGTTTTCTAATTAATCCAAACTTCTTGATGTTGAATTCTATTGTTGAAATTATTGTATTTCATATTCATTGATGATTCTTGAATGATGGTTTATATTTATTCTACAACATGTGCCCTTTTTAGCTAAAGTTATTTGTAGATATTGTTGTAGTATTTCATATGCATTTTTTTCATAGGTAAAACATATATTACAAGTTTTAAAGAAGTATTTCAAGAAAGTATATCTAGATTCAAGTGCATTATTTAAAGAAAGGAGTTCAAGAAAATATATTTAAATTCAAGTGCACTATTTCAAGAAAGTATATTTATCTTCAAGTGTATTATTTCAGAAAGAAATGAAAAGCCATATTTTCATAAAGAAATCATAGTCAGTTTTTAAACAAAGTAGATTTCAGCTTTGAGAAAGCATAGTTATTTTAGGAATAAGGCACAAGTACCCCACTAGTCTATGATCGAAATTCCACAGACACACCTTAACTCATAGTCAGTTTTTAAAGAAATTAAAGTATCTTTCATATTTGAAAGAGCATAGTGATTTTAGGGATAAGGCACAAGTCTTCATCTGAAAACTTTTCCTCTTCCATTAACATAGCTAAATCTGAATAAGATGAATCATCCTTAGGAAAAGTAAGTCCCCTTTCCTTGATTGAATTTGGTTTCGCTACGCCCTGAATCAATCAAAAAACTTATTGATTTGATTCATCCCATTTCATTTATTTGGGTGAGAGGGAGGCTGTGAGTCACCTGTGCTACGGATTTTTTCGTTGGTTGATTCTCGAAATTGAAAAAAAAATCAGATCCAGACCCACAAATGAATTGGAAGCGAGGTGAAGGTCCTTCATTAAAGGGGGGAAAAGAGGGTGGGCTTTGTTCTGGAGGGAGGGGGAGGGGGGGCTTGCGCAGCTTTAGAAAAGAGAGAATGACTTTCTGAAATTCTCTCCAAACCTTTCTATCTATCTTTAGAAGTAGGTCGAGAGAAACGCGCATCCAAACATCTCCCACGCGCTTCAACTATGTGGAGTTATGGAGTGTTCCACATAACCCAAAAGGTGTACAAAATTACAAAAAAAAAAGAGTTCAGGAAGGGGGCGTAATAAGGACCTTAGTTTAGTTAAGGTGTGTTTATGAGATTTCAGTCATAGTCTAGGGGGGTACCTGTGCCTTATCCCAATATTTTATAGAAAGTTCAGTTCAGTTCTAAAGAACTATTTAGAGTAAAGTCTTGTATGTGATTTACAAAGACAAATAGTTTATCTATCTATGAGTGTATTAGTATATACAAATAATTTTTGGAGGATTATATAGTAGCAAGAGGATGAGAGTTTAGAAAATTCAAGTCTCATAATTACGTGCCACCATAGGATTTTTTAGCACACCGCAGAATGGTCATCTCCTTTAGTCCAAGAGGCTCGATAGTGGATCCACATCAAACAGACAAGTTCTATATCCTGGCACAGTATAAGGCAGCCCTCCCAACTAAGATTGTAAGTTATACATCATGAGCGAACATGGTTTATGTCGATCATAAGAAAATCCCCAAGAAAAGTAAAGCTATATTATTTTTAGTAATTGCTATTATGGCATATAATCAGTTTAAAATTTTTATTGAGAAAACACACATGCAAATTTTACAACTCGGATGACTTTGTTTCAGTCTAACCTCGGAGTTACTCATTCAGCTGAGTATGTTCAATTTTAGCTAGTTGTTTCATTCAAATATTTTACATACCATACATTTCATGTACTGATGCCATTTGATGTTGCATTTTTTAATGATGCAGATTTAGATATTCAAGATCGATAACAACCATATCATTAGGATCACCTTTATATAGCTTCAGTGAGACCTTTTTACTTTTGGAGATCTCCAGTTTATCTTGACTTTGAGTAATTAGTATAAGTTATTAGTAGACTATTCAGGTGGCCTGCTAGGTCTTGTCTTGATAACCTATCTCCAATATGTTAGAATCTTCATAAAAGAGTCAATTAAGTCATACCTTTCACCACTATTTTACAAACATATGCATATTATACAAATTTTAGATTTTTAAATAGAGTTGTTGAGTTTGGTTTCTAAATTGATTCCCTACTCATCTTTTAAAAGCTTCCTCATAGTGTCATAGTATTCAGTTATTAGCATGTCAGATCAAGGATTCTCTTGGAACCAACGATGGTTATGAATGCAAATCACGTTTAGGGTGTAGACTCAGATCATGACATATATGTAACACCCCGTATGCTAGAACTACTAGAATGCAGATTTTCAGAAGCTACAGGTGCAACCCATGGTTGCCACCCATGGACCGTAGGGTGACCTACGGTCTGTGTTGGTGGTCAATGCATGGCCACCTGCAGCCCTCCCCAGAAAGCCCCAAAAAATTCCTCTAAGTATCGACCCACGGCCAGACCTACGGACCGTAGGCAAGGCCATAGACCGTGGATCGATGCCCCAAATTCCAGCCTCAGTCGCGACCGATGGCCGACCAGCACAGACCATCGGTCAATCCACGGTCCGTCGGTGACCCCGACAATAGTTAAGTCAGGGGTTGTTTAGTCTTTTCCCTATGCATTGGACCCCTAAACTACATCGTTTAACCCCTAAACTACGTTGTTTTGGTCAGTTTTAGCCTAGAAACATAATTAGACCTTACCCAAGTCAGATCATTCATCAAAGAAACATAGAAATTAGAACGTAAGAGGAGAAAGAGGTCAAGAACCCTAATTCAAGACCACAGCAAGGTTCCATCAGTTCTAGCCCCAAAATCGAAAGATTTCTCCGTGGAATTCATCACCAGATATATGGGATTTCACTAGTGGATTCCTTTCACCCATTAGGTCCCTAGAATTCAGTCAGATTCTTGATTCCCTTATTACCAACTAGACATAGGGTTTCTAGAATTTCAGCAGATTACTATGAATTAATTACTTTAATGTTCCTAAACAGGTTATCATGATTTTCAGCATGTTTTAGTATAAATTCCTTCGTAATTTCAGAACCCTAGCAATGTAGTTCTTTTAGTTCATGAATTGCACATACTAGGTCAGATTATTCAGTTATACATGCTCCAGTTATAAATGTTTCATTATCAGTACATTAATGTTGCATTTTCAGTTAGCATGTCAGTATTTGAGCTATCCAGAATTCACAGCATTTTAGTTATAAATTGCTAAATCACATAATTAGTTGGGAGTAGACTTGATACCGAGTGGACTAGTGTCAGTCACCCGCAAGTTCCAGAACTACGTGCCCCCATAGGTTGTAAATCCCCTCTGTGGGCAATATTTTAGTGATCACGCCAATCATGCCTTTAGATCTCTGGCAGGGTATATTGGGTCCTCTCGATGGGGCGTATACATCGGACTCCACATTTAGCTCATGTGGTTTTATGTCGGTTATTAGGAGCTCCCACAGTTCAGTCAGGTTCTATTGCATAGACCATGTTATCAGTTCAATATTCAGTTAGTTCATGTTGAGTATATTCAGTATCCTTACCATGTTCAGATTATATAATTGTTTTATTACTTTGTTCAGTTATGTTATTATTCAACTTTATCCTATCGTGCATGCTCAGTACCTTTCAAGTACTGACGCATACGTGCGCTACATCTTCTCGTGATGTAGGTTCAGGTTCTCAGCATCCAGATCACGCTTAGATCGATTCCCGATCTTCAGTTCAGCAGCATCAGTGGTGAGTCCTCATTCTTCGAGGACTAGTGACATAATTTTCTTTCTTGCTTTAGCTTTAGTTTCAGTTTTGCTAGATCTAGTTGGGGCATGTCCCAACATTTCTAGTCAGTTTAGAGGCTTATTTCAGACATAGATAGATTCAGCTTAGTATTGAGTTAATATCTTCCTTGTATTAAACTCATCAGTTTTCATATATCTCAGATATAGTATATGGGTATTCCCCATCATTTCAGACTTACTTTATGATTTAGCTTCCGCATCAATTATTATTATCTTTAGTATGC